TACCCCTTCAGTTGTGTCTCAGGTAGACGCAGTCGAGCCTGTCGAGGTAGCTGTTGACTCTGGTGCTGCTAGGGGTGCTGAGCCTGGGGGTGCTCAGACTGGGGGTGTGGAGCTTGAGGGTGTTGGGCCTGCTCGTGTGGAGTCTGGCGGTGCTGGTTCTAGAGGTCCTTTGGGTGCTTCGTCTCGACGGGAGCTGCCCTCTCCACAGTAGCTGCGCGAGTGGTTTGCTCAGCGCTGGAGCCGTGCTGCTGGAGCTGGAGGTGCTGCTGGAGCTGGAGGTTCTATTGCTGCTGAGGGTACTAGTGCTACGGGTCCTGGAGGTGCTCGTACTGGAGGTACTGGAGCTGCTGGGCCTGGGGGTGCTCCTTGTGCTGGAACTGCTGGCGGTGCTGGAGCTGGCAGTGCTGCTGGAGTAGGTGCTGCTAGAGTTCCTGGTGCTGGGGCTGTTGAGCCTTCTGGTGGTTCAGCTGGCGCTGGAGCTGCTGGGGGTGTTGGCGCTGGAGGTGCTGCTGGCGCTGGTGCTTGTGAGGGTGCTAGAGTTGGCGCTGCTGGAGCTGGGGGTGCTACTGGCGCCGGTGCTGCCGCTTGGGGTGCTGGTGCTGTACCTGCTGGTTCTGGAGGCGCTGCGCGGCCGCGGCCGTACTTCGTTTCGCTCCTTGAGCAGGTTCTTTGTCTCCCGCCTTCTGCTGGTTCTGCTCCTTCCTTAGAGTGTCCACCGCCTGTCCAGTCTCAGTCATAGTTACAGCTCGCCTCCCCACTGCCTGCTCCTTCTCCCTACACTGGTCCTACTGGAGGTCTTGCTGAGCGTCATGAGCCTGCGGCTCGTCCTGCGTTGCCTGTTCGTGCTGCTCGCACTAGTCGTCGTGTTCCGCGCCAGCGTCCTCCTGCGGTCCTAGGCACGCACCAGATGGCATTGCGTCCTTCCACTGCTCCATTTCGTGTCCCTTTGCCGTCTCCTCCATAGTCCTCTCTTCCTGCTCTTGCTTACCCGGAGTCTTACTCTCTTCTTGCTGCCAGTCCTACCGTCACGCGTCTTCTGGCTACTTTTGTCACTGACCCTTCCTTTGAGTCCAATGATACGTCTGCCCTAGTTGCTGAGCTTGTAGAGTTCGCTGCTCACTGTCGTCTAGACTACGCTGCTAGTCTTATTACTGAGTCTGAGTCTGTCTGTCCTCCGTTTGTCGGGGTTGAGTGTGCTCTTAGCACGGACGTCCTTGAGGAGAGGCAGGAGGAGTTCCAGTGTTATGCTGTTGCTTTGCCTCATCTCGTGTCCATGTTGATTGCCCCTGAGGGAGACCCGGATGCACAAGACATCCCATCTCCGCACTCTTACGTAGAGGCGATAGAGGGTCCCTACTCCTCTCAGTGGCAATCAGCCATGGACGCAGAGATGGCTTCCTGGAAGTCCAAAGACACCTACGTCGACGAGGTTCCCCCACCTGGGGCGAACATCGTCAGTGGCATGTGGATTTTCAGGGTGAAGCGGCCGCCGGGTTCTCAGCCTGTCTTCAAGGCGCGTTACTTGGCTTGAGGCTTCATTCAGCGGCTGGGAGTTGACTACTTTCAAACCTTCTCTCCCACCCTGAAGATGACCACTCTTCGGGTGCTGCTGCATATAACCGCTCAGCGCGACTACAAGCTTCACTCTCTTGACTTAAGCACTGCTTTCCTACAGGGCAGCCTGCACGAGGAGATCTGGCTGCGCTGTCCACCTGGCTTCACTGGGTCGTTTCCTCCTGGTACCCACTGGAGCCTCTGGCGGCCAGTCTACGGTCTCCGCCAGGCACCCCGTGAGTGGCACAACTCACTGAGGACTACACTTGCGGCTCTTGGGTTTGCTCATTCTACTGCTGACCTGTCGCTGTTTCTATGCACCGACACCTCTTTGCCGCCGTTCTACATCCTCGTGTACGTCGACGACTTGGTCTTTGCTACTGCTGACACTGCTAGACTCTCCCACGTGAAGTCCGAGCTGTAGAAGAGACACACGTGCACTGACCTGGGTGAGCTGCGCAGCTACCTTGGCTTGCACATCACCCGGGAAAGAGCACAACGCACCATTTCCCTGACTCCGTCACACATGGTGCAGCAGGTCCTTCAGCGCTTCGACTTCACGTGCTCCTCGCCTAAGGCCACTCCTCTGTCTACTCGCCACTCGCTCTCAACTCTGCCTTCGGATGAGTGCGTAGAGCTGAGTGGCCCGTACCCAGAGCTTGTTGGTTGCGTCATGTACCTGATGTCTTCCACTCGACCTGACCTTGCATACCCTCTTAGCATCTTGGCACGCTATGTTGCTCCTAGGAGACACAGACCAGAGCACATGGCTGCAGCGAAGAGGGTGTTGCGCTACTTGTGCAGTACGTCGGGCATGGGTCTTGTGCTTGGAGGGCTGAGTCCAGTGGTCCTCACTGGGCACGTAGACGCTTCTTGGGCGGACTACCAGGCTACGCAGCGGACGTCACATGGTTACACCTTCAGCCTTGGTTCCGGCTCTTTTTTGTGGCGGTCTACCCGCTCGTCTTTTGTTCTCGAGTCCAGCTGTGAGGCTAAGATCTACGCAGGGGCCATGGCTGCACAGGAGTTACGCTGGCTCACCTACCTGCTGACCGACCTAGGAGAGCCGCCTCGTTCTCCAGTTCTGTACGTAGACAACAAGGCCATGCTGGCCTTGTGTCGGGAGCACAGACTGGAGCACAGACTGAAGCACATTGCTCTTCGCTACTTTCTTGCCTATAGCAGCGTGGTCAGCTGCGCCTTGCTTACGGGGCCTCTCGGGCCAACACTACTGATATCTTTACCAAGGCACTTCAGCCTTGTGATCATCAGCTCTTTTGTACGATGCTACGTCTTGTGCCTACTTGGCCTCACTTGCTCACTTCTTGACCTTGCTTGTAATGTGATCTATCTATACCTGGACTTGCTTGTTTACCTTTATATATAATCCTGCATGTGAACTGGCCTTGTGGCCTTGAACTGGTGCTCGGAATGTGTGGTGACTTTGTGATCCACCCTGAGCTTGCTTTGCTTGACTGGTCTTGTGACCCCTTGTTCTCCCCCACTTTGCTTATGGGGGTGTGTCAGACATATATGACATAGTGTTTGTAGGCTCTAGTGGGGTACACAATAAGGGGTACAGGTTTCTAGGCTTTCATGTTTGTATCACACACTTTCCTAGTTCATTTCATTCCTCATTTTTTCAGAGTTGCTCATTTTTTGCTTAGACGAAAAACAATTCAGGGACTTAGGTTTCAGATGGCCTAAATCCTAGCCAGAGCCCTGGCTTTGACTCTTCTGACTCCTTGACTTTGTACTCGTTAGAGTTGGCTACTGCAGCGTACAGGAACTCCTCATAAAACTTCATATCTCAACCTTACAAGGTCGACGACGAGGAACGGATAGTATATGCCATGAAATGTTATGCATGTGTTGTTGGGCCTGGGAAAATGTTCTGGAGCAGCTGGACAAAGCTTAGAACAAACATCCACATACTAAAAGGAATTCCTTTTGGCGCATTTGCACATCCTCAGAATTAGTGAGCATGACGTGATGCATAGTATATAAATATGTTCAGCGTTTATGGGGTTTGGAACATCGGTTGGAGTTGTGTGCAGCCGAGAATGCTATTGCACGGGATAGAAGTTGTTTGGCTGGCGAAGCGTGCGACTCTTGCAGGCGATTTCCTTGCGCGAAATACTTCGTGTGTCTGTGTTGCACTCAGGTAAGTTCACGACAAGATTTGCTTTTCGCGTCACGAATATTCTAGCACGTCTGGTTTCCCTTTTGCACCAAATTCGCCGAAACGTTGGTTCTTAGCGAGGGATATCAGTGTTGATACCAGTGATAGGGGAGCGTTCGGGCGGGACTCTTACCACGTTGTGGCGGAGTTTCGAGTGTGTTTGCCCCATGATCCGAGGCCTTGGATCCGTGTGTTCCGGATTCCGAAGGGCTTGGGCGCAAGGCTCCGCCGCATACGACACGGCCAGCTGCTCACAATTCCGCGCCCACGTGACCGTGAAAAATGTGTTCCAACCAACCTGCCCTGACCCTTTGTGCCAGTGATGTTTGTCGCGAATGACATTTCTCGCCATCGTAACTCTTTGGCCGACAAGTGACGACTGCCGGTCGCATGGCCGGTTACGACCAACTAGTCTTCCTTGCGTCGTTATATGCTTTAACTCGGTTTTTTTTTTTTTTCTGCCACCTTAAAGCTGCAGCACGTGTGTTCCTTTATACCTTTGATCTTATAAGTTTTATAAATAACATGAGTACAAGTGTAGCATCCTACGTTTGCTCATTGTGTTTTATAGTCATTGTTTACCAACTGTAGGTGTTCTGCACACGTGGCCATGGCAACAGTTGTTGTCGGAGTCCCAAGGCTGCAAGAGCCAATAAGCGTCGAGTAGGGAACTTTCTCCCAGTTGTTTTTTTTTTTTTTTTTTTTTTTGCGGGAGAATCATCCAGCCCAGGGTTGGATGACCAGATCTGGACACGGGCTTCTGTGTGTAGTGGATGGGTATGAATGGATGTTTTCGTGCTCATTTGCTTCTTTTCATTTGCATTTCATGCTCCGCAAGCTCTTTGAGATCTTTTCATCCAGCACCCGTTAGGCCACCAGCGTAGTCTTTTAAGCCTGCTTGGCCCACTGACAGAAGATTGTGAGAAGAAGTGAACGAGAATAGAATGACTATGAACGAAGTGAGTACAAACAGGAAACCCTAATTGGGTTGTACCCCCTATGGGATACCCCACTATAGCCTACACAAATAAGTAAGCTATAATGTTCTGACACACCCCCATAGGCAAAGTGGGGGAGAACAAGGGGTCACAATACCAGTCAAGCAAAGCAAAGCAAAGCTCAGGGTGGATCACAAAGTCACCACACATTCCGAGCACAAGTTCAAAGGCCAAAAGGCCAGTTCACATGCAAGATCATATATAGAGATATACAAGAGTCAAGCAAGCAAGAGCAAGAGTATATATAGGTGAAGGTACAAGCAAGGTCAAGAAGTGAGCAAGTGAGGCAAGACAGACACAAGACCAAGCTGCGTGCAGCACCGCTGATGATCACAAGGCGCAAGTGCCTTGGTGAAGACATCAGCAGCGTTGGCCTCAGAGGCCACGTACGCAAGTCGCAACTGTCCACGCTGCTGTAGCTCACGAGCAAGAAAGTAGCGGAGAGCAATGTGCTTTGTCTTGTGCTCCAGTCGCTGCTCTTGACACAAGGCCAGCATGGCCTTGTTGTCTACGTACAGGACTGGAGGAGAACGAGGCGGCTCTCCAAGGTCGGTCAGCAGGTAGGTGAGCCAGCGTAACTCCTGTGCAGCCATGGCCCCGGCGTAGATCTCAGCCTCACAACTGGAGCCGAGAACAGAAGACGAACGGGTAGCCCGTCACGAAACAGAGCCGGAACCAAGACTGAAGGTGTAACCCTGTGACGACCGCTGCGTAGCCTGGTCGTCAGCCCAAGAAGCGTTCGCGTGCCCAGTGAGGACCACTGGACTCCGCCCTCCAAGCACTAGCCCCATGCCCGACGTACTGCACAAGTAGCGCAACACCCTCTTCGCTGCAGCCATGTGCTCTGGTCGGTGTCTCCCAGGAGCAACATAGCGTGCGAGAATACTAAGAGGGTATGCAAGGTCAGGTCGTGTGCAGGTCATCAGGTACATGAGGCAACCAACAAGCTCTGCATACGGGCCACTCGACTCTACGGACTCATCCGAAGGTAGAGCTGAGAGCGAGTGGCGAGTAGGCAGAGGAGTGGCCTGAGGCGAGGAGTACGTGAAGCCGAAGCGCTGAAGGACCTGCTTTACCATGTGTGACTGAGTCAGGGTAATGGTGCGGTGCGCTCTGTCCCGGGTGATCTGCAAGCCAAGATAGCTGCGCAGTTCACCCAGGTCTGTGCACGTGTGTCTCTTCTGCAGCTCGGACTTCACGTAGGCGAGTCCAGCAGTGTCAGCTGTGGCAAAGACCAAGTCGTCGACGTACACGAGGATGAAGAACGGCGGCAGAGAGGTGTCGGTGCGCAGAAACAGCGACGGGTCTGCAGTGGAGGGAGCAAACCCAAGTGCCGCCAGCGTAGTCCTAAGTGTGTCGTGCCACTCACGTGGCGCCTGGCGGAGACCGTAGACTGGACACCGGAGACTCCACTGGGTACCAGGCGGGAAAGTCCCAGTGAAGCCAGGTGGGCGACGCAGCCAGATCTCCTCGTGCAGGCTGCCCTGCAAGAAAGCAGTGCTGAAGTCGAGAGAGTGCAGCTCGTAGTCACGGTGAGCAGCAACGTGCAGTAGTACCTGAAGAGTGGTCATCTTCGGGGTGGGGGTGAAGGTCTGAAAGTAGTTAACTCCCTGCCGCTGACTGAAGCCACGAGCCATGTAACGCGCCTTGAAGACAGGCGGAGAACCCGGCGGCCGCTTCACCCTGAAAATCCACATGCCACTGACAATGTTCGCCCCAGGAGGGGGGACAGCGTCAACGTAGGTGCCTGTGGACTTCCAGGAAGCCATCTCTGCATCCATAGCTGCCTGCCACTAAGAGGAGTAGGGACCCTCTATCGCCTCCGCGTAAGAGCGCGGAGTCGGGATGTCTAGTGCATCCGGGTCTCCCTCAGGGGCGAGCAGTACAGACGCGAGATGAGGTGAAGCGGCGGCCAGACACTGGAACTCCTCCTGCCTGTCCTCAAGGACGTCCGTGCCAAGGGCACACTCACCCCCGACGGACGGAGAACAATCAGACTCAGACTCAGCGACAAGACTAGCAGCGTAGTCTAGACGACAGCGCGCAGCAAAGTCGACGAGCTCAGTAACAAGGGCAGACGCAGCAGAAGACTCGAAAGAAGGGTCGGTGACGGCAGTAGCAAGGAGACGCGTGACAGTAGGACAGGCAGCACGAAGAGAGTCCGACTCCGGGTCGGCAAGAGCAGAAAGAGAGGAAGCAGGAGGAGAAGGCAAAGGGGCACGCAGAGGAGCAGTAGACGGACGCAGAGACATCCGGTGCGTGCCATGGACAGGAAGAGGACGCTGACGCGAACTGCGACCACTAGTGCACGTAGCACAAACAGGCAACGCAGGACGAGACGCAGGCTCACGACGCTCTGTAAGACCTCTAGTCGGACCAGTGTAGGGAGAAGGAGCAGGCACAGGGGAGGCAGGCTGTAGCTGTGACTGTGACGGGACAGGCTGTGGACCCTCTAAGGGAGGAGGAGGAGGACCAGGAGAAGGTGTAAGACCAAGAACCAGCTGCAGGAGCGGAACGAAGTACAGTCGGGGCCGCGTGGCGATGCTAGAAACAGCAGGGACAGCACGAGTACCCCCAGCAGGAGTACCCGCTCCAGCAGCACCTCCAGCAGCACCTGAACCTCCAACAGCACCTCCAGTAGCCCCAGAACCCCCAGCAGCACCAGGAGCACTGCCAGTCGGACCGCCAGTGGTAGTCTCAGCGCCAACACCCTCAGCAGCACCAGCTCCAGGAGAACCCTCAGGCCTAGGAGCTCCAGTACCCACAGCACGAGCACCTCCGGGACGCGCTGCAGCAGCACACTCAGCAGCCGAAGAACCTCCAGCACCAGCAGCACGCCTCCAGCGCCGGGCAAACCACTCACGCAGCTCCTGTGGGGAGAGTGGCTCTCGGCGAGACGAAGCACCTCCAGGCGGAGAACCTCCAGGCGAAGAACCTCCAGGCTCAGGACCCTCAGGCAAAGCACCTCCAGGCGGAGCACCTCCAGTCTCAGCACCCCCAGGCTCAACACCCCCAGGCTCAGCACCCCCAGGCTAAGCACCCCCAGACTCAGCACCCCCAGGCTCAGCACCCCCAGGCTCAGCACCCCCAGACACCGCACCCCCGGGCTCAGCACCCCCAGGCACAGCACTCCCAGTCACAGCACCCCTAGGTTCAGCACCCACAGCAGCACCAGAGTCACCAGTGATCTCGACAGGTTCGACCGCGTCTACCTGGGACACAACTGAAGGTGCAGGACCCTGAGGGGGGAGGGGGGTCTACCGGGGGGGGACCTGGTACCAAGAAGAGCGGGGGAGGGGGGAGGGACGGAGTGCGGTAGGGAAAGAGGCGGTAGTAGGGTACCGACTCGTCGAACATGACGTCCTGGGAGGACAGAACACGGCGAGAGGTGGGGTGGTAGAACTGCCACCCAGGGGCGTCGGGGGGGAACCCCAGGAAGACGCAGGGAGCAGCGCGAGGGGACAGCTTGTCCGCAGACAAGTCGCGGACAAACGCCCGAGATCCCCAGACCCGGAACGCCGACGCATCGCCAACCTTCCCCGTCCACAGCAGGGCTGGGGAGGTCTCCGGCCTGGAGACCCTGGGGTGGAGGTTGATCTGATGCGCCGCGTACCTAACCGCAAACAGCCACAGAAAATGGGGGGCAGCCGCATGCATCATAGACGTACGAGCGACGTCCATGACCATGCCAATGCGGCGCTCTGCAATCCCATTTTGCTGCGGTGAGTTCGGAAGCGTGAAGGTCTGACGGATGCCTCGCGCACGACAGTAGGCACGCAGAAGGCCAGAGGAGAACTCTCCGCCTCTGTCCGAGTGCAGACGCAACACAGGAAAGTCCGAGCCAAAGCTCTGCCTGAGCTGGAGACGAGCTGCGCGGATCCAGTCGATCAGCACCTCAGTGACATCACCCTTGCTGCGCAAGGGGAAGACTGTGGTGTAACGCGAGTAGTCGTCAACCACCAACAGGAAGTAGCGCTCGTGACCGAGTCCACGGACGCGGGCAGGGCCCCACACGTCCATGTGAAGCGTCTGCAACCGAGCCTCTGTCGGAGGAAACTGGGAGGAGTGAGGGGCAGCACGCTGTCGCCCCTCGACACAAGGGACACAGGCAGGGCCAGGGCCCTGAGGAAGGGGAGGGAGGGACCGGGGGAGACCAGACACAAGAAGACGGGAGGCCATGCCTCTGAGCCGAAGCAGAGAGGGGTGGCCAAGGCGGTGGTGCCAGAGGAGGGTCTCGTGAGACAGACGGCGACACGAACAGGGGGCAGACTCAGGACCAGACCTGGACGCTGCAGCAAACACCTGACCAGACGAAAGGACCCTACCAGACTCAGCACCTGGAGGAGAAGCAGTGGTCAGTGTGTACAGGCTCAACCCTGGCTGACGTGTAAACGTAGCCAAGTGGCGACCTGTGCTAGCCTCTGTGCAGTGTGTCACCCGCTGACGAGCAGGAGTGAACTGGTGGACACCCACATCCTGTAGGTCATAACCACTCACCAGGTTCGTAGAGAACGAGGGGAGGTAGAGACCAGACAGGGTGCCAGAGGGAGCCGCCGGACACGGGAGGACTGTGGAGAAACGAGACAGGACAGGACCCCCAGAGGGGTCAGCCAGGGACACCGCAACCGGCCGACTAAGCGGCGTGAGAGTGGTGCGGTCCCGAAAGAAGGAGCGAGACGCCCTAGAGTCCAGGGTGAAGGTGTGAGAGGCCGAAGCCGACTCACCAGTACCTGAGAGTGCAGACTCACCAGTACCTGAGAGTACAGACGCACTGGCACCTAGAGCAGCAGCCTCACTGGCACCTAGAGCAGCAGTACCAATGCACGGGTCGGGCAGGAAACACCGGTAACAGTCACCCTCATCACTAACAGTCACAGCATACATGGCAGCAAGGATAGCATCAAAGTCAAGATCAAAAATAGCTACACCAGCCCTAGACAGCTCTCCCCAGCGAGGGATCTCAGAGGCCTCCGGAAACTGCTGGCACCAAGCGTCTGTCAGGTGGCTAAAGCAGCGGCGGGCGGCGTGGGCGCCCCCACACTGCTCACCCGCGCGGTCGCCGGTGCGAAGGACGTAGGTGCAGGGACCAAACGCCCCACCACGCTGACGCTGCGAGTACCACTCACGGAGCTGCTGAGGGGCGGTGACGTCGCGAGAGCGCTGCTGCTGCTGCTGCTGGTGCTGCTGGCGCTGACCACCCCCAGTGCTGCTCCGCTGGGACGAGCCACTCCGACCACCTCCACCACCGCCACCCCCGCCTCCGCCGCCACCACCGCCACCGCCACCGCCACCGCCACCCTCGCCCCCGCCGCTCCCACCGCCACCTCCGCCACCACCTCCGCCGCCGCCTCCGCCTCCACTGCCGCCACTAGTACCTCCACTCCCGCCACCACCCCCACCGCCACCCCCACTCCCCCCGCCGCCCCCACCTCCTCCGCCACTACCCCCGCTAGCTCCACCCGCTCCCTTGCCCCCCTTGCCCCTGCAAAAGCGGCGCCTACCGCTGGGGGCAGACGCCGTACCGACCGACTCTAAACCAACGAGGTCGGCCGCAGCAGCAGAGGCGACAGAGGGTAACAGGGGGGAAGGAGAACACCCCTCAAAGATGGGGGTGCGAGGGTCACCACGAGAGGCCCCTACAGCGACTATGCTCTTCTCGGCCGCTAGCAGGGACTTCTCGAGGAGGTCGACAGTGAGGGTGGTGGGACAGACAGAGAGAAACTGGTCCCTAACTACACGAAGGGACTCAGGGAGACGAGTGACGATGAAGTAGAGGGTGATGTACATGGGAGGGGGGTTTGCGGCGCAGAAGTCAGCAGGAAGCGCAGCTCGGTAGCGAGTATCACTAGCGCGGAGGTGGGTAAAGAGGTCAGCGACTGTAGGAAAGGCAGCAAGGTCAGGGAAGAGGTACGGTAGCATGAGGCGGCTCAGTGTAGCAGAGGAAGGGGAGGAGTAGCGCGCAACTACAGCGTCGTACAAGGCCTGAGCGGTCTTGCACTGACTAAAGTGTGCACGCTCGGAGGAAGGGAGGTGGCGACGCACAGCAAGACGTGCAGCGGCATCGCGTGAGGCCCACTTGGGGCGAACAGTGGGGTCAGCATCAGCAAGAGGGGCAGGGACAGCGCCAGAGACAAAGTCAAAGAGAGAAACTTCATCTACCGTATCGCACAGCAAGTACAGCTGCAGGTCGTCGACTTAGACCGCAAAGTCAATGGCGCGACCCTCAGCGTGAAAAGCCAGGACACTAGGGGTGGCCATGATAGCAGCCGACAGTCTCACCGGACAGGAAGGGTCGAGCCGCTCAGCAGCACAGCAACACGGCAGCACAGCAACTCCGCCGGCCCAGGAGCAGCAGCAGCTCCACAGGAGCAGGAGCTCGGCACCTCAGGCGGCTCGGGCGGCTCGGGCGGCTCGGGCGGCTCGGGCGACTCAGGCGGCTCTGCTGCAAGGGCGGCTCGTGCGGCTCGGGTGACGCGGGTGGTACGGGTGGCGCGGGCGTCGCGACGGGCGGCTCACGGGCGGCTCGCGGGCGGCTCACGGGCGGCTGTACGGGCGGCTGCACGGGCGGCACGGGCGGCTCACGGGCGGCACGTCGGGCGGCTGCACGGGCGGCTGTACGGGCGGCAGTACGGGCGGCTGCACGGGCGGCTGCACGGGCGGCTGCACGGGCGGCTGCACGGGCGGCTGCACGGGCGGCTGCACGGGCGACTGCACGGGCGGCTCACGGGCGGCTGAAGGCGACGCACGGGCGGCGCGTCGGGCGGCTGAGGGCAGCTGACGGGCGGCGCACGGGCAGCTCACGGGCGGCTGCGCGTGCGGCACGTCGAGCAGTCACGGGCGGCTGACGGGCGGCTGACGGGTGGCGCACGTGCAATGCACGTGCAGCTCACGGGCAGCCGAGGGCGGCGCACGGGCGGCGCGTCGGGCGGCTCGCGGGCGGCGGGTCGGGCGGCTCGCGGGTGGCGCACGGGCGGCTCACGAGCGGCAGAGGGCGGCGCACGGGCGGCGAGTTGAGCGGCTAAGGGCGGCTGACGGGCGGCTCACGCGAGGTGCGCGCGGGCTGCGTAGGGCAGCGCGCGGGCGCTAGGGCGCTAGGGCGGGCGAGCGGAGCGCGGGCGCTAGGGCGCGGCGCGGGCTGCTAAGGGCGGCTCGCGGGCTGTTAATGGCGGCGCTCAGGCTCTAGGGCGGGCGGCGCGCTGGCGGCTAGGGCGGCGCGCTGGCGGCGAAGGGCCGGTCAAGAAAAGGAAGAGAGAGAGCCCGGAGCGCGCTCCGGGCTGAAAAAAAAAAAAGTTCGAGGTAGTAGTGGTGGGCCCTAAGCACAGTTCCCACAGGGGAACCTGCTCGATACCATGAGAAGAATTGAACGAGAATGAAATGACTATGAACGAAGTGAGTACAAATAGGAAACCCTAATTGGGTTGTACCCCCTATGGGATACCCCACTATAGCCTACACAAATAAGTAAGCTATAATGTTCTGACAGATTGGCGTCCTCGACGTAGTGACGTAGGTCGTATAGAGTGGGTTTTTTTATTTTGGGTCAACTCGATTAGGATAACTGCAGTTGCACTGGTTAGGTCGCTTATGTAGGCGCAGATGTGTGTGGTATAATATTTTGTCGGTAAAACTGTTTGTATTTGCCCGGAACAATTGTCGTAGGTCGCCCGCTCTTGTAGCCGGACATCTTCGACGTTAGGCTTTTGTTATCGGTAAAAGTATTCGCTCCCAATCCATAATATCGTCGAACCTACGAAAGTTATGTACAAGCATAAGGGTTCCGTAGATGATTATATCGGTATAATGGTAGGAACTTATTTTCGTTGTTTCGTTGTAGAGAATTAAAGCGGTAAAACAAAGGGTGACAGAGCTATACGGTACGGGACAGTCAGGCGACCCTGTATACGCAAGTTGTAGGCGCAGATATATGTAAACGCAAGTTTTAGGCGGTGTATCGAAGACCAATGTGCAGACGTCTGAAGCACAGACTCTCTTACGCCTTCTGCGCTTAGCCCACTAAGCATTCTGCCTATGTTATCTGCACACTTGCGAATCGTTACCACCTACCGCCGCTGACACCATTCGATTCTTTCGTCTAGTCTCGGTTGCTAGCTAATAAATGAGGAATCTGTGAATGGCCGACAGCTCGGTCCACTCTCGCCCCATGGCAGCCCTGGGCGCAGAGGATGGAGAAGAAGACCTGGAGGACGATGAAAATACTGACCAAGACTACGCACAGGATCGCGAGAACGATAGCGAGTTTGAGGCGACCGAGGAGGATTTGTTTCAGGGTGGTCTCTACGAACCATCTGTCCGGATTCAAGTCCAGGGGAGTGAAGAAGAGAGTGAAGGGCCGGGAGGCGATGGAGTGCGCCCACGACCCGGTGCACCAGAAGAACGGTACGAGGAGGATGGAGATCACTCTGACGCAGAAGAGGAGGGAGAATCATCGCCGGGACGACGACGACCTCCCGATTCTGCGAGCCATGTCGAGCAGGCTACGGCCCCCGGAAATGCACACCGGCAGACCGACGTTGCGGAAAAGGAGAGCAGGATCCGGCGTTCAACAATCCCGCTTCGACTGATAGAGGCCGGGACGAGAAGGCACTATTGTTTCCACTTTCTACACTTCAAGTGGTGGGTGATAATCTTCATGGCAACTATGGTAGATGTCCCTGAGGCAGATAGGCTTGCTCCCTCTCTGCACGACGAGGTTGGGTTTCATATGAGCAATAACTTGGGAAATGATGGGTGGTCGTGCAGCTCTGACGAGTGGCAAATTCATCTGCACGGGCCGCGAGTCACGGAATGGAGGCTCGGCCGATACATCGAGTATCTCTTCTGCGAAACTGACGAGCAGGCAAAGTTTTTGCGTGGAAAAATGCGGCCAGACATCGAGAAATATGTGGGGAAGGAGGCAAAGGGGTGCACGGCTTCAATGATCAAGGCAAAGATGAACGCAATGGGATGCCTTGCCAGATGCGAGGCGAGGCTCTACGGCTTCTCCATCACACTGACCAAGGACTGGATCAAGGATGCTCGGGATTATTTCAAAGTCAAGCTGAAGGATCTGAACGACGAGCAAGTCGCGTGAGTAACATATACGTGTGCTTTCTGTTTGTGTGAATGTTGTTCTACATGGTTTACATAATTTCTATGCTATTCTATGCAGGGATGGTTGA